TTGAGCCATAGGCTCCGAGCCTTAACATTATAAAATTAACAAAAATAATATAAAACTCATATTCTGGCAAAATAGCCACATGGCAGCCGAAAACCATATATTCCCTTCTTATTCTCCCGCTCATTCATGCATTCTTTCCAAAAATCAGGACTTTTTTAAAATGCCGTGGGACGCGGGACAAAGTGTTGAAAAGCAGGACGTCTGGTCACCCTAAGCTACAACAACTTGCCATCAGACATCAGCACTCACGATCCTGGAGTCTTTGGGCTTAGAGTAGGACTTATATCACTGGCTCCCTTGATTCTTAGGGATGTGGATCTGGACTGAAACAATACCATCAGTCTTTCTGGGCCCCCAGCCTACATATAGCAGATTATGGGAATTAGCCTCCATAATCTAACCCAAGTCCCCATCATAAATCTTTCTGTACATCACTATGTATATCCCATGGGCTCTGTTTCTCTGGAAAACTCCAATTAATACACTAGCAACAGACAAACAGATGAATATAACCAGAGAGTCTGCCATATACCATTATCTCCCATTACCATATTACATTTGGGAATTTACTTTTTTTTAAATCCAAGTTTTCTTTTCCCTTTACCCAGAGAGATATTTCTACTGACAGAGATAGTACTGAGTACCAGTCATGAAAGCAGGAATATTCTCAGATGAACAAACAGGTATTTGGAGCTGGTAGAGTATAATAAGGCTTCGAGTTCTTAATACAACAAATACACTATTTAGAAAGAAATGACCTCTAAAAGGCTGAGGGGCAGGCTAGAGGAATGCTTCTGGTATTTAACCTATTAGCTGCTTAGCCAGAGTTCTTGAAACATGCAAATACTGATTCAATGAGGTTGGGCAAAGCACTCAGGTAATCACAGTTCTTCAGTTCTAACAGCACACACTGAGATTTGGACTGCCACAGAGCAGTGATTCTCTAAATGTTCCAACAGCAGCAGAATCTCAGGGGAAGTTATTACAAATACAAATCGTAGAGACTAAGGAAACTGGTGAAGTTTGTTGACCTAACTCAGCTGTTTACACCAAGCTAGACAGGTTATTTTTCCTAAGAATGAAAGAACAGTTTTTCAATACTTAAGAAAGTAAATGTAGCATAATAGAAACTGTTATCTAAATAAGAAAAACAATTTTCACTGCAAACAATTTCCAACGTCCTAGTTCCTGCCATTATACTTAAAATGTAGGCATAGGCACTAAAAGAAACCTCCTATGATAATGTGTATCCAATGTATTGCAATTCACTGGAACCACCTACCCCTTGTTCACAAAAAAGATCATTTCTGTTTTTCCTAGGTAATACAGTTAAGACTTGGTAAAGAAACCAACCTAAGTTTTATTTTTCTTTGTGTTGAGAATATAACCAACCACATTATGGTTTAGCCAACTTCTCCATAGTAATATTTATAAATTGCTTGGTTGACATGTAAACATAGGTGAACATTTTGATTCAGGCATCTGTTTACATACATTAGGCATGTGCGACATACAGATGCATAAATTATGACACATTAATGCTTTGAAACAAAATATGCTTGAAGGACAATAAACTTAATGGTAAACTGCAAATACAGTGTCATGATCAGAGGAAAGATTTCCATTTTCTGCATGTGAACATAACTGAGTGTAAAATAAGTTTTTCCAAAATTTTTAAAAATACTGAATGCACTCAATTTAAATTCAGTACTTACTTCTACGTCAATAAAAGTTTAGATTTAGAAGTTTACCTCTCACTAAAACCTGAGTACATAGTTCTAACAATCTGTGCTTATACATACACCATGGAATAAATAATATTGAGGCATCGAAAAAGTTAACAACTTTTCATCTTTTGCATTAACCTGGATTGAGCTAGAACACATTCTTCTTAGTAAACTATCACAAGAATGGAGAAGCAAGAATCTAATGTACTCAATTCTAATATGAAGCCAGATCTAATACATATCTACATAAGAGAAAAATTCAAATCAATTCAAGGTGGGTTTCTGGGGAACGAGAGGGTTAGGGAGAAGGGAGGAGGGAGGGACATAGTAGTTTACAGGGTATGTGGCACATCTTGGAGGAGGGACACAATTATAGGAGAGACTTTACCTAGCAAATGCAATCAATCAGTGTAACCTGATCCTTTGTACCCTCAATGAACCACAAACAATAAAAAAAAAGGATCTTCAAAATAAAAAAAAAGAACAAGTTAGTTACTAAAATATTATAAAGCACCATACCTGTTTCAGAATAGGAGTGAACACCTCCAATCTCACTAGGACTATTTATTTTAAAATGGTGATTCTCCATTAGCGGCAATTTTGTCACCTAGAGGACATTTGGCACTATCAGAAGTCAACTTTGATTGTCACAGCCGGGGACAGGGTTGAGATAAATGGGTGTTTCTAATATTTAGTGAGTTGAGGACAAATACACTGCAGAAAACAGTCTTCATGGCATAGAATAATCTGGCCTAAAACGTCAATACACCTATAGTGCTGAGGTTGAGAAACTTTATTTAAATGACAGAAGCTACAAAAACACAGAATGAATGTCCATTGTACATTTTAATTACATTCCTAACAGTGTTAAGCACAATAATAAACATTTGATTATTAAATAAACCAGCTTTGTGTAGCTGGGATCTTAGAGTTAGAGACAGAGAAGTGGGGTATCCAAAATTATAAAACAGAATTGTAGTCACTGTCAGAACCCAAAAAAGAATGAAAACATCACCCCACTCAGTCCAATTTCTCTAATTTGAGAAGACAGTGTTTCTCATCTGGGAGAGCTACCCAACATACTGATGTGACAGTGTTAAAGGGAAGTGGCAGTTCTCTTAACAGTAAAAATTAAATAAACAATTATAAATTTACTAAAAGACCAGTTTTCACTGTTTCCCTTTTAATAGTACAATATCCCATACTTTTCTCAAGTAAATAAAGTATTTCCTCTATAAAAATTAACACCAATGTTATATCATAATAATAACTGATATTTCACAAGCAAAATAAAATGTAATTATTTTCAAAATACAAATCAGAGATCTTGTGGGCCTACAGGCATTTATACTTCTCAGATCGCTGGGACTTAAATTGTCATGAGAAATTCTAAACTGGCTTACATTTGCAAAGCACAGAAACTGACAGCCACAAGGCCAAACATACCCTTAATAATCGATTCAGCCGCATACAGATCTCGTTTGTAGGTCACCTAAAGGACAGATAAACCTCATTAGACTTGACAGAGCAGGAAGGAATGCAAAAGCAATAAAGTAATACCCCCAAGGAAATTCTTGATTTTGAAAAAACTATAAACACATAATATAATTTCTAAATTTGAATTCCATCAGCAATTTCCCATTTTAAAAAATCTATTCCTATAAATCCTTGAAGATTTGTTTTTAAATCTTTGAATAAATTATATGACAGTAGTTACTGAAAGCTTAATATAATTTAGGTATTATAAACAAAAAATGTGGTATTGGTCAAATTACTGTTTAATAGTAATTTTTTTTTTTGAGACAGAATCTCACTATGTTGCCCTCAGTAGAGTGCGGTGACGTCACAGCTCACAGCAACCTCTAACTCTTGGGCTTACGCTATTCTCTTGCCACAGCCTCCCAAGTAGCTGGGACTACAGATAAGAGAGGATACGGGAGAGGGGAGAGGTCTGGGAGAACAGGTCTTCTCAGAGAGACCATGAGGATGCACCTACAGGGCCCTCTCCATGATGACTCAGCTCTTGGGAATTTATAGGCTTAACTTCCTGGAACCTGGAAATTTCCAAGTTCTGTGAAATCCTGTAGTTCCGTAGGGGCTAGAGTAGCATCTCCTGCTTGAATCAAACTGGCCAATGGGAAGGGTACCTGTGGGGTGGAACTTTTTGACTGTCAATAAAAAGAGACAGACCAAGCCAGTCCGGGAGCACGGCCATTTGGAAATCTATGCCATAAGCTCCCAGCCGAAGAATAAAGCCCTTCCTCTTATAAGTATGGTGTTTGGGTGCTCTTTCTCTCCGTTGGGCCTCATCTTCCTGCAACACAGGCACCAGCCACAATGGCCAGCTACCTTTTTGTTGCAGTTGTCATTGTTGTTTAGCAGGCCCAGGCGGGGTTCAAACCCACCTGCCTCGTGTACATGGCCAGCACCCTATCCACTGAACTACAGGCACCACCAATAATAATGTTTTACATTAGAAGAAAGGAAAGGCTAGAGGGAAGAAATCTCTGTACAACAAAAATCACAAAGTCGCATTCTCAGTTGAAATGAGAAAATTCACAAAGATTAATTCACATTAAGAGGGACTTTCTTCTGAATTGAGTATCTTTGTATGTACCCAGATAAGATTTGTCTTGTGAGATTTTATTAAAACATGGCTCCAATAGTAAGAGCCTACAGAGCACCAAGGAGTGCTTAAGAACAGTGATGGATGACCTTTCCTTTAAAACCTACAGCCTCCTTGTAATGTAACCTGCCTCTTGTAACCTAACCTGCCTTGGTAGGTGTCTCTGGCAAATGCCTCCCAAACCCCCTGCAGTGAGCTCAGAGCATGTACACTACAGAACTAGATCCCCTGTATCATAAAGCTGAAAGAGAGTAAATAATGAAACTATAGATACTGATCCAAAATGCAATTCTACTATCAGGAAAAAAAGCGGGGGGAATAAAATACATACAGACATCTAAAGGTTCATGCTATGCACATTCCCAAATGGCAGAATGTATTGCTGTCATCCATTGATTCAACAAATACTGACGGAATAATTCCTATATTCTAGGCACTACTCTAAGTGGGAACAGAGTAAAGAATAGAGTGAATAAAAATCCTTAATATGTGGAGACTACATTATACTTGAGTATTTTTTATAAAATTAGTTTTTAATTTTTTTCTTGAAAATGCCAAATTAACTAGACATCTGAAATCAGGCTTTCTTGATATCTTTAACATAAATAGGAAAGTTTTTCCTACCATAATTGTCCACTGTGTAGGGTAAACACAGAACAGAAATTAAGAAGATGACTAATTGTCAAAATTCATTTCTACTCCTTCCTGCTTTGACAGGTAGAACCAAATTTTAAGTTAAAATAAAATAATGCCTTAGTGAAAGTGCCTTAGTTTTTCATATAGAAGTTAATGATGGCTTCCTGAATTTATAGAAAAATTATTCTCAAATACTAAAATGACTTTTCTAGAAAACTTATAAGACTTATTTTTTCTCCTCTAATATTAAATACTTAACTATATAATAAGAAAGACTCGGCTTGGCGCCTGTGGCTCAAGCGGCTAAGGTGCCAGCCACATACACCTAAGGTGGCGGGTTCGAATCCCCAGCCCGGGCCCGCCAAACAACAATGATGGCTGCAACCAAAAAATGGCCGGGCATTGTGGCGGGCACCTGTAGTCCCAGCTACTTGGGAGGCTGAGGCAGGAGACTCGCTTGAGCCCAGGAGTTGGAGGTTGCTGTGAGCTGTGATGCCATAGCACTCTACCCAGGGGGACAGCTTAAGGCTTTGTCTCAAAAAAAAAAAAAAAGAAAGACTCAAATTTATCTTCTGTTTCCTATTAATACCTATTACACACAGATTAAAAGCGATTTTTAAGATCTTCTGCATACCTCAACTGTTCTTCTCAAATACTGATTTAATAAAAATAAACTATAGAATATATTTCTTGCAAACTTCTAAAGTATCTTTAATCACAAAAGAGACTTTACCTAACAACTGCAATCAGTGTAACCTAATCCTTTGTGCCCTCAATGAATTCCAAACAATAAAAACAAATAAATAAATAGCCTTATTTTTTTCTCAATAAAACAGCTAAGTAATTCAAAGGAAATATTACTGGAAAATGTTGTAATTGTAAATTGATGTGTCATTCAATTTTTCCATTTAACTTTTACAGTAATATGGGTTGTCCTTTCCTTATTTTTAAATGGAAACAAAACAAAACAAAACACCCTAACAATCAGTTTTAAAGTTCATTTTGTTCTGTCAGCATGATCTGTGTCTTTCTTTGACCTTGCACAATACTATGTTATGAAAAATAACTACTTTAATAAAGTAAATCAATCCTGTAGTGATGAAGTAAATTCCTAATTCACTTGTTTTCAAACTTAATTCACTTGTTTTTAAACTGAGCTCACTAGAGCTTCAGGGGCCAGTGGAATAGTAAAGGTATTCTGTGAGGGAGAGACTCCAACTCGATACCTAACTCAGCTTGACTGTTGTCTATCTTGTTCAATTGAGCTTCTGTGCAATATTGCATTTGAATAATGAGTTTAGCTAAAAAAAAAAAAATTCAATAGAAAGAAACCTGAAGCTCAGAGCTACAGACATAATTGTCTTCTCAGTCCTAAATAAGGATTCTCTCAATGATACTCTGGCAAAGACTAGTAACACCTATATTTTGTTTCTGTGTTGAAACACAAAGTAGTGAAATAGACCTTTCAGAACAGAGCCAACCCCAGTTGGCCACCATCTTATATAAGACTAACAAAATGGCTCTCGCACCTTCACCTCATAATCTAATAATTACGAAAAAGCCAGAAAAACTTATATTATACATATATATATATATATATATATACACACACACACACACAATATTTACTATATAGATTTTTGGAACTTTTCCCCATTTTGTCAATTATGTACATCTAGACGATCCTTTCTTGAAATTGGATAACTAGATGAAAACCACTCAAAAGAAACAATGTCACCACATTGTACTTTTGAGGGTATAAAACCAAATAAAGACTATTTTGTTTCTTTTGTTTTTAAACAAAGATGCTAGAATACTTGAATCTAAAAAAAATGCAGTCCTCATCAAAAGGAATCATCAAAAGTCATCTATTACAGTAATAGCTACAACACAAGACTTCAGAAATTCCTTCTAAAGAAGTATTCAGACAATTGAATAGAGTTGTTAAATTTCTTTAAAATTGACTATAAGTCTTTTATGCCTTGAAGATAGTTTTGACATTTATAAATAAGAAGTCTATTCAACTAAGTTCATACAGTGTAGTAAGAGACCAAGCTACATAATTAAAAATACAGAGAGCACCTAAGAAATGTATACACATTTAAGAAAGGAAAAAACTGTACTAAATTTGTGAATTCAAGTCACATTTGACTTCTACCATTATAAAAGGCATTCAATGTGACCTGTTTTATCTTTTGTTATTATTATGTATTATTATGATTTTGATACAGTTTTTTCCTTTTTTAAGATACGAATACATCTTTTTAGAACTGTCTGTATACTGGACCAAAGATATAATGCAACTGTATATTAAAGGGACTAAAGTTCTTATGTAGATGAGATGAAATCTCACCAAAAGAACAGTGTTTACTGAAGTGGGCCAAGACGCAACTACTCAAGGGAAGCATGAGAGTTGGTTTCTGGAAGCCAGTCCCAGACTCTGGAGTACTGGTCACACTTATGGGAGACCATGGGCATACTGTGGTCATTCTAAGGGGATGCTCTCTATAAAGCATGGTGATGAGAAAAAAAAAAAAACTGATGTTTTCTTCAATGTTAAATTTTCATTTACTTTTATTAAAATTTGCATGTAAAATATAAAATAATAGTCCTCCTGGAATTTGTGGTGGCAATTAAAATAATACTAAATGCAATCATCAGAAATTTCTAGTCACCCCTACCACTGTGGAGTGAACTCCATGACTTCTAAGGGGTAGTAGAAGGTATATTGTTTCATCTTTCACAAACTGGGGGCTACAAAGAATAGAAAGTTATTCTCTCACAGTTCTGGAGGCTAGATGTTTGAGAACAAGCTGAGGGCAGGACCACATTCCCTGTAAAGGCTTTTATGAAGATTCCTTCCCAGTCTCTTTCTGGCTCCTGCTGGCTGCCAACAATCCTTTGCCTTCTTTGACTGGTAGATGCATCAGTCCAGGGTCTGCTCCATCATCCCATGGCATTCTTCCTGCACCCAGGTCTCTTCTCCTATTCTTATACCAACATCAATCACGTTGGATTTAGGTCTTACCCTCCTCCATTATAACCTCATCTTAATAAGGTCATGCTTATAAGTGCCAGAGGTTATAACTCTACCACATCTTTTAGGGGACAATTCAACCCATAACAGCACGTGTGAAGTGACTCACCAGTGAAACCAAGAGAAATACCCTGAAAAGATAATCATATCAGCATACACTGACATATCTTATACATAAAAGGGAAACAGAGAGCCACAATGTACCTGAGGACTAACACTCTCTTGCTGGAGAAAACAATGAGATATGAGCATTTAGCAAAAGAAAAAAGAACCTACAGATGAAATTTGTGAAGGGGATGGAGTAGAAAATTCAAGGAGTTATATGCTGCTTCCTTTTCCATCCAAAGGGCTCAGAGAGCTTTATAAGCTTGATGAAGGCTCAGACGTAAATAATCACAGCCTCAAAGATGCCAAAGTGAAGCCAGAGAGCACAGACACATCAACAATGATATAATACCTCACATTTTCTACTTTTTTACATGTCCTTCAAATTAGGTCTAGCAGGCAGTCAAAAGGCATTCTACAGAGATGTGGATCTGAATCTTTAACTACACCCTAGTTGGTAATTGCCCAAATCCTCATAATTAATATTTATATCACCATTGAGCCATATATAGAAAAATCAGAATAAAATATTTGTTTGCTGGGTTGAAGACATTTAGATATCCCTAAATGGGCAATAATACTGCATGCATTTTCTCTGTGAGGCAATAATCCAACCCTGTTGATATTTGGGAATCTTAAAAGTCAATAGTTTAAGTCTCTGAGACAATCATAGCATCCAGCAACTCTCCTTCAATCAAATATATATTTTCAGAATATACTGTTCAACTCATTTGTATTTGCTGAAACAAAAGGAAATCATACTCTACACCGCCTCCGACCTCAAAAAGAAGCTGTAGTATGATAATGCTACTACCTTGGTTACAAAAACCACTGCATTCCTCCCAAAAGGAATGAGTTTGGCATTAAAAGAGTTGGGCCTTGCCACATAAAAGGGTCCGGTTCCTGATGGGGGGAGCAGGGGAGAAGATGGGACCAGCCACTATCCCAGTGAGTTAGAACTACAGCAGATCCCCCAGATGAAGGGCTAAACTATGACTTCAACTTCACAGAACAAATGCAAGCAGTATAACCTCATCATTTGTACCTTCGTATTCATCTGAAATAAATAAAATAAAATAAAATTTTCAAAATAAATCTGGGGCAGACATCCTTTCAAACACTTAAGTTTAAGCAATCACCCCAGGGCCTAGAAAGAAATGTTAATATTGCAGGCAGAGTTGTACCTTTAATCCAATTAAGTGAACAGAATAAAAGCTATACACAGAGATTAAGAAAAGAAGGGATAAAGTGAATAAACCCATCTTATGGACTACAATATAGAATTTCATTGAGTAAATTATCTCAAAGGAATTTCTTAAAGCCATGCAACAGAAAGAATACATTCTGATGGCTCAGGAAACCCAGTAAGACTCCCTTAACTCCGTTAGGGTTCTACCATTTTTAAATGTGCACATACACACATGCACGCACAAGCACGGAAAAGGACGCTAGCAAAGTACCATCCATCTTACCTTCCAAAGGTCAGGTGATCCTTCCACAAGTTTGGCATTAGTATGACAGTATTTTAGAGCCAACTGCAAACACTCAGTTCCAAATTCCAAGTCGTAGTCACTACACTGTTGTAGGGGAAAAAAAAATTTAAGGTTTTATTTAAAATTATATTTTAATTTAACTAAGCCTTTTATTTCATAATCAATTGCAAATAGAAAAGAAAGGAAGAACCTAAAGAACTCACAGTTACCAGATGCTCATTAAATTATAAAATACTTTCCCCCATTCCCTAAAAGCAAAAACAAAATGAATAGCATGTAGTAGTATTACAATTGGTAAGAGATTTAAACTTCCTCAATAGTTTTGGACATCAAAAAGATGTTGCCTTTCCTTTGCTCATAAATTACCTTTCCAAACAAGTTTATAAAATGCCTGAATGGATGGCTGAGGAATACTGTCTCAGAACTGTCAATAAATTTGTCTACAAAATCCAAATCCCATATCTTTTATTTGTATCAAGACACATGCAGGTCACAGTTCTCTCGTTCATTTTAATATGTAAGATATCAGTAAATCCTTTTTAAATGATTTACGTTTTGCTTGTAAACATGGAAATAGTTGAAGTTTTCATTGTGAGAAAAAGTGTAAAAGGTCTCTCATAAAATCAGTAAAATATAGATAACATCTTTTAGCAATTTAAGCTGAACCATCAAAATAACCAAGTAATAATATAATTTAGCTGAGTAATACAAAGCATCTATCTTCTTTCCAAGCTCTGCATTAAGTACCAGCTATCTATAGGTAAATCAGACATGGAATGTGTCTCCAAGAAACTCAAGTCTAGAAGGGGAAGCTGACTTCTAATAAATAATTTGTAACAGAATGTAACAGACACAGCAATAGAAGAATGTCTAGAAGAGTGTTTTTCAACCATTTTTATCTCGTGGCACACTTAAACCTATAGTTAAATTTCCGTGGCACATTTAAAATATGTTGATCAAAAAAAAGAGCAAAAAAAAAAAATACTGTGCTTTGAACTTCTTTCAAAAATGAATTAATGATCTTTAAAATTTTCCCAGCACACCTAAGATCCTCTCATGGCACATCAGTTTGAGAAATCACTGGTCTAGAAGTAATCCAGTGGACAAAACACTTCATTCTGTGTGAGGGTATCAGAAAAGACCTATTAGAGTAAATGGTCTCTGATCTCTATCTTAAAACCTGAATAAGATTGAAGAAGGAGGATTATCTTTAAGGCAAAGGTATCATGCAAAGTTACAAAGATTTTAGACATCTGGTAGATTTGCATTTTATACAGAGCATGTCCTTGTAAACACAGCTGGAAGTCAACAAATGTAAATAAGGCATCTAACATCCACAGCTAAAGCTGTTTTATTGTACTGAACGTTACAAAATTCTAACGGTAATGTTTTGTGCAATTAATGAAGAAAATATTACCAAATACACATAGAACCCCAATTTCACCAAAAGAGTCCTAATTCATATCTTCTATTTTGACATACTATCTAACCTCACATACTTCCTAGCTCTTCCTATTTTTTAGCAGAGTATCATCCAAATTAGTTATATTCAGATAACTTGAGATGAATTTTGGCAAATGTTCCTTTGGTTTGTACTTCGAGCATCTATACAGTGTTATCTATTAGTATGTGAGATTGACACATGGTTAAATCCCATAGACCACTAGCAATATGGGTTTCCTGATTCATTCCAGAGGCAAAATATCAAACATACCCCAGGATAACCTTAAAAGTGCTCACAAAAGTGCACGTGGAGAAGAGTCCACAGGAACAGCAACTTCTTTTCCATCTCAGGTAGTTGTGTGAAACATAAAGAGGCTGTGCTTCTACCTGCCATGAACTGTACGAGCCGAGAGTGCAACAGCCTACAAATTTCATTAAGGCTCTAGGACATCAGTCACTAGTGTCAATGGAAAACCAACAATTATAGGTCAAAAGTAAAATATACACAGGAAATGGAAGCTAAGCAATCTCAGCAGAGAGACGAGCCTCAATGTGTCATTTGTCAATATAGACTAATATTACAAGCATTTATGAGAGGCTTTGCAATTTTTTTCTACAATGAAAATTGTTAGCAGTAAGTTAAAAAAAATACGCTTAATAAAAACAAACTAAAGTCTAAATTTGTTTTTCAAAAATATTGATGAATTTCTGCTTTTGTCTAGGATATAGAAAACTACCACAAGTGAAACTCATATCTGAACAAAAGAAAAAGCAGGTAAACTACAGAAGTATAACTTTCATCAGGGGTAAGGTCATGGGACAACCAAGGGGCCTTCTACCTAAGGAAAAACATGCTTCCCCCAGAGGAGAAAGAGGATGTGATCTCCAGCTCACCTATGGCAGAATCTAAGACAGTGGTTCTCAACCTTCCTAATGCCGCGACCCTTTAATACAGTTCCTCGTGTTGTGGTGACCCCCAGCTACAAAATTATTTTCATTACTATTTCATTACAGTAGTAATTTTTCTACTGTTATGAATCATAATCTAAATATTTGATATGCAGGATGTATTTAGGCTACCCCTGTGAAAAGGTCATTGACCCACAAAGGGGTCATGACCCACAGGTTGAGAACCGCTAATCTAAGAGAAAGAGATGGTCCCCAGGCAAGCAAGAGTCATGTCAGATAAGAAGAAAGCTAGAATTTTAACAAGGTGCTGAAGACTCAGTGGAGACTACTGAAAGAATGTAAAACCTCTGGGAACCACAATCACAAGAGTTTATAAGCACTTGCAGGCTCCTCTCGAGGGCTTTGAATTAGGTGCTCATGAAGTGATAACTTATTTGAAGGAGAGTTAGCAGAGTATGTGTATTTTAATCAATGAACAACAAAAAAAAATTCGTTATAAGAGTCAACAGAAGTAATGAAATGAAATCACAAAAAAATGCTAGATTAATCTAAAGGCAGATAATAAAGTAAACAAAAAAACAAAGTACAAATGAAATAAATAGAAACCAACAAGTGAGATGGCCATTTTAGTCAATAAGGTTAACAAAGAAAGAATAATTGCATAAAATATTTGACATTTATTATCCAGCATAGGGGAAGCATGGTGATGTTGCTGATCACATATACTGAAATATACAGACACCTAGAACCATCTACCTTCCCTAACTTGGCCCATCAAGATAGCATCAAGCGGCCTTCTTCAACTAGGCAGAAAGTCCTAAGGACACTTATCAGAGAGCCTCAAAGTACAGCATCCACAGAGTGTCAGTCACGTCACAGGGAAGTTCACAGCCAACAAGCCTCACCCACAAAACTCACCAACGCCAACCAGTCCCCAATGGTTACACATGAACCAGAATCCAGATTTCACTGACATCCAAGAAGAGATTGTCACAATCTCTTGAACAACCTATTGAAAGATAAGGTCACAAGTGCAAAAAATAAAGCATTTGAGAGGAAACAAACCACTGGGCTTTTTAAACTATTAATAGACTCCGAAACATAAAATATTTGTAATAAAAAAAGAGTAATATTTAGAAGGATAGAAAACAAAAGAAAGATAATTAGATGACTCATCCACAAAGTCAAATATCCAAATTGAATATCCAAATAAAAAGAGATTGAAAGAGGAAAAGAGAAAAAGGTAGAGAAAGAAACTTCAAATAATTCAAGATGTTTCAGAAATGAAGAACATGAATTTCCAGATTTAAAGAATTTAGGAAATATAGAAACTAATGGATGAGAATATACCAAACCCAATTAACAACAACAAAAAATTCTCTCACAAAGAAGTCAGAATCCTAATGGACTGGAATTTCTCAGCAGAAACAATGAAAGTTAAAATAATCAATTTCTTCATAATTCTTAAGGTAATGATTTCAACACAAAATTGTTCTCTCAGAAAAGCTGTCAATCAAGTTTGAGAGTAGAATATAAATTTACCTAGCATTCAAGGTCCCAAAAGAGACCAATGCATTCTTTTTTCCCCTCTGTATTTTTAACAGACTTTGAGAGAAGTTTTATAAGTTCACAGCATGCTGGAACATGCTGTGGTACAGAGACTACTGTTCCATATACTGACACATCATTATCACCCAAAGCCCACCATGTACATTGCAATTCATTCATGGTATTGCACAGTCTGTGTGTGTTCACAAATGTACAATGACTTATATTCATCAATATAATATCGTATAAAGCAGTTTCACCTCTGTAAAATGCCAGTGCACTCCCCCATATATCCCTCTTCCCCATGAAACCCTTGCAGCCAATCATCCTTTTTTTCTTTTCTTTTCTTTTTTTTTTCTTTTATTAAATCATAGCTGTGTACATTAATCCAGTCATGGGGTACAATGTGCTTGTTTTATACACAATTTGAAATATTTTCATCAAACTGGTTAACATAGCCTTCACTGCATTTTCTTAGTTATTGTGCTAAGACATTTATATTCTACATTTAGTATTGTCTCCATGGTTTTTCCTTTTCCAGAATGCCGTACAGTTGAAATCACACAGCATGGAGTCTTTTCAGATGGGCTTCTCTCACATAATAAGAGGGATTTAAGGTTCCTTCATGTCTTTGGGTGACTCAATAGATAACTTTCTTATCAGTGAATATTTCATCTTCCTAATGTTCCATTTTACTTATATACTCACCTACTAAGACCTATTGGTTGGTTCCAGTTCAGGCAATTATAAATAAAGCATCTATAAGCATTCATGTGCATGTTTTTATCCTGACATAAGTTTTCAACTCATTTGGGTAAATAAAATATATATATATATTAGCTGCTGCATCATAGGGTAAGAACGAGTTTAGTTTTGCAAGCCACTGTCAAACTGTCTCCCAAAGCAGCCGTACCATCTTGCATTCCCATCAGTAACGAACAAAAGTTCTTACTGCTCCACATCTTGGGCAACATTCGTTGTTATTAGAAAGGATAAAATCTGAAACAGGTACATAGTGGCATCTCTATGTTGTTTTTAATTTGCATTTTCCTGATGATATGACGAGCATCTTTTCATATGCTTATTTGGCTTCTGTATATTTTCTGTGATGGAGTGTCTATTAAGGTCTTCAGCCCATTTCATAATTAGGTATTTTTGTGTGCTTATCATTGAGTTTAAGAATA